ATGTGGAATTTACTATCTCTAGTTTTCCAGTAGACATGATCTTTGTTTTCTTGATGTTCAAAGAAAGCCCAGCCTTTTCACTTTCCTGTTTTAGAATTATTCATCTTAGATCTTTTCCAGTTTCTGCAACCAAGGTAGTGTCATCTGTATTTTTTTAGGTTATTGACATTCCTTCCACCAATATTTTAGTTCTTCCAGATTTGTGGCACTTATAATGTATTTATTGTATAGTTTGAATAGATACGGTGATATGCAGCCCAGTCTGCCTCCTTTTCCCAAGTTAAATCATTTAATGTTACCAAATGTCATTCTCACTGTACCTTCTAGGTTATTCTAGAGATTTCTTAGAAGAATTAGATGTTTGGGTATACCCATTGCTTGGAGAGATTTCCAGAGTCTTGAATAATCAACACAATCAAAAGCTTTGGAGTACTCTATAAAAAAGAAGTAAAGCTCTTTTTGATATTCTGTTGCTGTTTCCATCATCCACCTAATATTGACTATATGATTTTATGTTCCCTGTTCCTTCTGAAGCCTGTCTGTTCAGTTGCTGTTTCTCTCTCTGTAAAAGGCTCTAATCTTCTCTGAAGAACTTTCAGTAGTATGTCACTGGTATGTAAGTAGAACATTCCTTTAAAACTCCCTTTTTAGGGATTGGGATATAGATAGACCATTTCCAATCTTTGGGTCCTATGGCTTTTTTCCATATTTATTGCCAGGGGGCTGTGATTATCTTTATTGCTTTCTTGTCAATCTCCTTTAGAAGCTGTGTGAGGATTTCATCCTCCCTAGGGCTTACCTATTTTGCCAGTTGTTTGATAGCCCATCTGACTTCCTCCTCTGGCACCATTGATCCTTCTTCTTCTCTCAAATATAATCTCATCTGAGTTGATCTTGTACATGTCTTCTGTGTATTCCTTCCACCTTGGAAGTCTGCATTAAGCTCTCTAGTTTTCGCAAGATCTTCTCTGGCTTCCACCAGTCTTCTTTCCTTAGCTATTTGTATGGCTTTGTTTAATAACCAATGTGTCCTTCATCATAATTTTAACTTCTTCCCACATTCCCCAGGAGTTCTATCTGCAAGATGCAGGACTTTGCATCTGTTTCTAACCTCAATCTTATATTCTTCAGGAATGTGTTCAGGCTGTATCTCATAGGGTTTGAATCCTTTCTAGTCTTTTTCAGTCTGATGCATATGTCTCTGAATAGGAGCTGATAGTCTGATTTATACTCAGTACTCAGAAATGTTTTGCAAGTCAGCAGAGAACTTGTCTATCTGTTGCTACACAAAATGTAACTTGTTTGATTACAGTGAGATCCACTTGAAGACATCCAGGCAGAGAGACGTAGTTTGGGTTGCTGAAAGAATGTGTTAAAAATGAGCAGGCCATTTTCTTTACAGAGCTCTATCAGCTGTTGTCCTGCTTATTGTAGGTTGCTGGTCCACATTTTCCAATGGTTTTCAACTGTTCTCCAAATTTTGCATTATAGTTACCATTAATTATTAGAACATCCTTCTTTAGTGTTTGTTCCATTACTTGTCATGGATCAAAATTCCATTGAATTAATAAACCTCTTATTCTTCAGCATCTGTTGTGGTGCATATACCAATATAATCATGAAATTGATTGGCTGCTGCTGAATCCTGATAAAAACTATTCTGTTACTGACAGGGTTGCTTTCCATTTATTTATTTAATAAATTAAATAGCTGCCCAAACTGCAAGCTTGCAAACTACAACTCTGGGCAGATAATATAATTAAAAACTAGAACAGCACCAACAAGATTTAAAAAAACATGAAAAAGGATAATGTAAACCAGTCCACAATCATTCCGTTTCTACGCACTATACCCTAGGTGGGCTCATCCACCACCCTGACCCAATGCCCTGGGGAAAAACCAGATCTTCAAGGCCTTACAGAAGGGTAATGGGGTTGAGACCATTGGAATTTGGGGAGCATGCTGTTCCATTACATGTGCAGTGATAAGTTTTAAAACAGAAAGTGTCATTCCATTCTTTGTGTGAATTTAAGTTCCAGAATAGAGTATTTTGATTTGTTTGATTGGA